TCCCTCAGGGCTGGCCCTCAGTTAAGTTTTGTGCTGGGACTGTGTTCCGGGCTGTGTGCACTTTATTTAAAACCCCAACAATCCGCCCGCTGGCGTGGCTCAGTGGTTGAGCGACGACCTCTGAACCAGGAGGTCATAGGTCACGGTTGGATTCCCGGTCAGGGCACCTGCTCGGTCCCCAGGAGGGGGCGTACAGGAGGCAGCCTACCAATGATTCTCTCTCATCGTTGATGCGCCTGTCCCTCTCTCCGTCTCCCTTCCTCTCTCTGAAATCAATTTAGAAAACAAACGTAAAAGTGTGTTAGTTACAACTTGGGCAAAAGCTAGGAATTTATAAATAAAGCCCCAGCAATCCTGCAAAGAAGGTACTAATCCCCACTTTACAAGTGGAGAAACTGAGGCTTAAACAGGCGACATCACCTGCCCAAGGCCACACAAGTAGCAAGGGGTGGAGTCGAGATCCAAATCCAGGCCTGCGGGACTCTCTGTCCCTGTACTGCCTGTTCCCACAAAGGGACCTTTAGCATCGGCCCATGGGGGGCGGGCAGGGTTGAGGGCAGAGGACAATCCCTTGCTCCAGTACAGCCCGACGCCACCCACGCAGGCCACCTACTCTGTTGGGGGGTCCCCGGGCAGTGACGGAGGCTCAGGGCTTCAGCATGGCCACCGGGGAGGGACAGCTCTGGCCTCACTGTCCCCACTGGGGACGTGGTCTGAGCAGCAGAACAGAGGGGGAGGGAAAAAGGCAGGGAGGAAGGGAGGGAGGGAGGTGGAGGGAGGGAGGAAGGAAGGAAAGAAGGGGGGAGGCAGGGAGGGAGGAAGAAAATGGATTGCCATGTTTCAAATAAAAAATGCATTTAGCACATACGTTTTCCCAAATGCATCATTTCTTTTAAAAGTTAATTTCACCATATTGAGTTTAGGATCACAGCATGGGGGCGTGATGGATCCTCTAATACGATGGAGATGATGGAGATGAAGACGCTGCAGGCAGGGATGGCCTGGGGAGGGAGATGCCACGGAGAAGGATGAGGTTGGGAGAAGGGGGGTGGTTAGGGTTGTGGGGGGACACTTTCTCTCCACCCCCCCCCCACTTTAGCCAGACTGTCCCCTCTAGTATCTGCCTTACATAATGATCTTATGAACCCAATATATTGTTTGAATAAAAGATTCCTGGTGGGTGGTTTTTTTAATGTTTGGTTTATTTATTTTATTATTATTTGTAAAATATATATTTTATTGATGTCAGAGAGGAAGGAAGAGGGAGGTAGAAACATCAATGATG